AAAAACAACCCCCATTTTTCTCAAAACTTTTCCTCTATATAATCAGCAAAGAAAAACATTTAAAAACCTTCACAGGACATACATATGACTTTTTTATCGACCAGGTTCATCTAAATAACAATGATCAGAATAAACAGAAACTTTATTTGTCTGACCTTGAACTCGAACTTTTTCATAAGTTTTTTAAAGTAACGATTTCATCCATAAAACATAATAAAAACACAATTACAGTTACAATAGAATTACACTTTTATTATCATTCACCATACAAAACAACACTTCCTTTAGGAGTCTTAGGATGCGAAGCAATGCAACATTTCATCTTTCTCATGAAAGAGCATAGAGCATACAGAGTAAATAACATTTAAAACTATTAGATATCTGTCAATCAACAAACCTTAATGAAAAACTATCCAGTAATCATATTACAAATGATTCAAAAAGAAACACAGATTAAACTCCTTGTATTAAACCAGCTTTTCAAATATCAAAATATACGGATAAACAAAATCAACTTCGGACAATCTTTAAATTTCAACATTCTCAAATTAATCAGCAAGTATTTGAACCATTAACAGATTATTATTAAAATTTCCCATGGTTTAGGCCACATGAAAATTTGATGTATAAAAAATACACTCACTAATACACCTTCCACTTAAATGCAACGCAGTTTTCAAAAAACAACGTGCAAACGAAGTCCCAATACACATGCAAAACAAATTAAACATAACTTTTGACATTTTTGAACAATTATCTTGAACAATTCTTGAAATTATATCACCAGTAAACAAAGAACAACAACCCAAAGAAAACAGATTTATAATTCAGTTATGATTCTTGCTAAAAGAGAATTACTCAAAATCGTTCTAGATGCACGATATTTGAACTCTCTAAATGATGAATCAAAATCCAATTGGCCGATAGAACCAATACAAGTAATGCAACCAAAACAAAAATAAATTGACACTAACATACCACCGCAGATAAGAATAGTGCATATAATCAAAAGCCAGTAGAAGAGCAAACACGTCGATTGACACTTTTTGTTATTGGAAATCAGCAATACGAAGTTATTAGACTACTTTACGGCATATCCTAAGGAACAACACCTTTTTCTACTTTTATGAGTAAGATCTTTAGACCACTAATTCTAAGTAAAACTGTCATTACTTGTCTGGACGATGTTTTTTCCGCAATCACAAACAAAAAAAAATTGTTCAAAGTTTTAGACATATAACACCAAATCTTGTGAAAAGAAAACATGAAAGCAGCCCCAGATGAATCACATTTTTCGTTACTCGTGTAAAATTCCTTGGACACAATTTTGAAGGCACCACAATAACATTTTCAAAATTTCGAATCCTTGCATTTTTAAAATTTAATCAACATCAAAAAATAAGAATATCAAAAAATTCCTTGGAAAGCTAAACTTTTCAGAAAATCTGTTTTTAAAATGCAACTGTATCTCAGACCATTCTACAACACTCTTGCACAACAAAATAATTTTGAATGGATATTGGAACATCAAGAACGCTTCGATGAAATTAAAACCTTCTAACGTAACAAATTCCAAGTACAATTGTAGACTCAGACCAACCATTCTACGCTATGTGCGATGCTTTCAATTTTGGAATTTGCTATTCAATTTTACAATATCGTCAAGGCACTAATAAAATGAACCTTATATCAGCAAATTCAATACTTTTTACACAAGCAGAACTCAGTCTTTCCACAATTATGAAAAAATGAAAAGCCATTGTTTTTACACTGAATTCTTTATATTTGGATCAGAACATCAAACAATTTTATTTACAGATCATGAGCCAATATTTTTTCTATTTACACAGAAATCTAATCCTAACCAGAGAGTCTACAGATTTGATCAGCAGGCAGAACGCTGCTTTACCAGACACACTCAGTCGAAATACTCCACCCGAACTACTTACATGAAAAACAACTGTAGAGATACGGCAAAATATAAATTTTTCTCGCAAAAGACAAAACATCGCCACGTTTAGAATGTAAGCACGCAGTAAAAATTGCTCCAATACCAAACAGACCCATTATATCTAGATTGCCAACAAAGTAGACCTATTAGGTACAAATACGTTTAAACCTTTATCATATTCATCAGGGATAAAAAGAATCACACAACTGAAAGCTCATCAACAAAAACCACCACTAAATAAATCTTTTTCCTTATTAGAAAAAAAGACCTAAAGGGCATAATAAAACTCTCAGGCCCTCCGAGTCAAGTCAAAAATACATAATTAACAATATCTTTGTTTACAAGGCCTCCTACATTCCTCTATCACAGTACGAAATTCAAAACATTTTCCTCCCCAACACAGAAGTATTAAAACTACAGTTTTTATAGAAAAAACAAAATCTTGACCCTGTTATCAGACAATATAAATCTTGTTCAAAAAATGAAACGAAACCCATTGAAATTGATATCAAAACAGTAAAAAACCTTACTCCGATATTTCCGAAAAAATTAAAAAACGATAAATGAAAATACTGACATCTTAGAATATACTTACCTAGAAACAAAAATATTCTGTTTACCACCAAAACTAATGTCGAGAGCATTTCACATATATATTCGTTGAATACAAAAGGACCTGTAGGATCAGAAAAAAAACATCAACTTAACCTAAGTCACCAATATGCATAAAAGTACTTTCCAATGATTGAATTACAAGCCAGTTAAGCAAACCCTTTCCATAACAAAGACAAAAAGCAGATAAAAAAGACTTTAAAGGACAAAGTTTATATTTTAACGTTAGAATTTGGTTTCATACAAAAAGACTATTATCTCCCTCTTCAGAAGGAAACTCCTCTATAATGGTAATAGTAGATGCTTTTTACACATGATGTAGCACTCCACCGTGCGCCCCATTGTATCGTTTAATATGCAAACACAATACTTTACGAAAACTGGATAGAAAAGTTTGGCTGTCTGAAATCCTTGTCACAGACAATGGAACAGAGTTACAATGAAATAATTAGCCTATGTCGTCTTTATAACATCAAACAAAAACCCAGAACATCACATGCCCCATGGACAATTGGATTAGTCGATGGTATGAATTGTTCCCTACAAGTTTACCCTTGAAGTATTGTAAACAGAAACAACCAGGATTCAAATATACACCGAATCGTTAGCAGATGTAAAACTATTCCCATTAGCCTATACTTTTCAGGTTACAACAACAATTGGATAATAACCATATGAAAAGCTCTCAGCTAATTTGTCGAAAAATGCTCAAGGTTATTGTGAACCAACAATTTATTCAATTGGTTATAAATTACCACTTCACACTCATAACGAAGATCAATTTCACCATCAGCAAAATTTAAAACTAGTTTTTTGAACTCACCGAGATTGGATTTTGAACAGAAATTTATCAGAAAATTGCAACGAAACTATTACAAAGACAAAACCTCCAATCTCAGATAAATTCAGGCTTTTTGCCAGGATCCAACCTGAAAGTAGGAACAATCGTTTTCATTCTAAAGTATGTAATTCAAGAAAGAATCTCAAAAAAAATTACAACACATTTAAAAAGGACCATACCAAAATATAGAAAAACCTACAGAAGTCACATATAATGTAACAGACCCCATCAAAAAGAAATAGTACACATAAAAACAATCTTCTACCATACTCTTCAAAAAAGTAGGTTCTTCGTGAAATAATACAATTATAATCCTTTACAGGACTACATATTCGCATTTTTGACAAAACAAAGGAAACGAATGGTCAAAAAGTGTCAACAAACTTTCATCATTTACCGCGATCTTTTGAAATCATTCCGAAAACAAATCAGAAAAATCTCCAAAACTAAT